TAGTAAGATAATGTTGAGCTGGGACTTGATATATACTTCAACGAAAATAACATCATATGATGTAACCCCCATCATGGGGCTTGAATCCACGTCCACAAGGTTAAGAGCCTTGTGCTTTATCAACTAAGCAGTGGGCCCTTCAATATAATGAATAAAAAGCTTTGTACCTTAAATTGTTGACAGTAGCAGTTGGTAGCCCCCAAGGGCCGGCTCATTATGATGTGATGAGTCGGGTCTTCAATAAGGCCAGTAAAAATGACTTTGCATTAGCCGTCAAGTGCCATGGTGCATGCTGGCAGTGACATGGGACTTGCACATTTGATATAATCCCAATTTGAATAATGTAGCCCCCAAGTGCCGGGTCGTAAGCCTGCAGCGACTCGGGACTATTCCCTCCATTGTAGAATAAATCATATCCGTTGATAATATGATAGCCATTGCGCTAAAGCGACTTTGAAAACCCCAACCATAATATTGGTTATTGATAACCATAATAAAAATCCAGCCATGTTGGCTATTAAAGATTTGAATAATATACCTAATGATTTATAAGCGCATGATTCCAATGGCGCAATCCAAATATATACTGGCGACTTATAGTCCAAAGCCAGGCCGGGTCAATAAACACCGGATTATAAGTGATTATGTACTGACAACTTGTAGTTGAAAGTCAAGCCGGGTTAATGAACACCGGGTTAATTCGATGACTGATAGTCATGCCGAGTCAATAGACGCCGGTTCAACATAAAATTTTATCAAAAAGAGAAAAAATCTTGACAAAGGCAAATAAAACCGTGTAGTCGAGGCTTTTCAAGGGCTACTAGGCCCAAATTCGAGGCTTTTCATGGGCTGCCAGGACACTGAGTTAAACCATTTGACAAAGCCTTTTAAGATGGACCTCCAACTAACCAATCGTCGTTTTAACTTTGACAAGTTCAGGGTCTGTATAAGATTTACTTGTCAAACGTTCGACGGGTCATGCCAGGATTACCTGGATAGGAGTGGCTTACTTGATGAAGGCAGGTTAACCCGGGGTTTTAGGTGAATACACCAGGCTTCCAAGCCGTGCTTGATAGCAGATTACAAGGGTCCTTTCAAACTATTTGTTGCAGTGCACAAAGAGGCCCCAAGTAACTTTGTGAGCTGTGCTCAATGGGTGCCTATGTTTGAGCTGTGCATAGCATCCAGACTCTCTTTGGCCCCTTGGGTGTGAAGCTCCCAAGCTGTATTGTGGCGTGATAGTCGGATTAATGGACAGGACTCCGCTTTGTCAGCTGAAGCCCCCATGTGCTATATTTTTGAGCTATGCTCGCCGGGTGCCTATGTTTGAGTTGTGCTGTGCAACAAACTCTCTTTGGCCCCTTTTGACTTTTATGAGAACTCAAACTTTGCAATAGATATTTCTTCTTGAACCGGATGTTAACCCGGATATTTGAGAGCTTCAGTGAGACTGACTTCCTTTGAACCGGATTTTGAACCGGAATCCTTTCTGATGACCCGGAACTTCTTCATTGAGCCGGGATTTTGTCATATACTTTTTGAGCCGGAAATTCTCTGACGGCCTTTAAATTTTCATCAATATAACAGTAGCCTCCGGGACCGGGTTATCTTTCCCTTCAACATCCTGGGGCACTTGAATTTGCTGAAACTGGCAAGACTTGCTGAATCATATCATCATAGCCCCCGAGTCTTAAGATGACTCAGGGAGTTGTCTTGAGATTCTCTGTACTTGACAATAGCAAAAAGATATATGTCATTGGTGTTGATAAATGTGAATCCACAGAGCGGATTATAAATGATCCCGTATGAATTGTGTCAGCAACTCGGCCAATGGTTCCTTCCAACTGGTTGTTTGAAGTTCACCAAACTGTAATGGCGGCGACTTGTATGCATGTTCATCGAGCCATCTAGCGCGGATGGCGGCTGAATGAAAATTTTCCTCCCATTTGTTAGAAGAAAAACCGGGCTACCCAAGCTGTGACTTGCTCATATGCAATAAATAGCTCATGCAGACAGGTGCGGCCCGGTATGTTGATGTAAACCAGGCCACAGGGATGGCGGCTTGCGCACGCTCATCCACCGGGTGGTATGTTACGGACGAAACACCGGTGCAGAACGTTGCTAGCGCGTGCTCCGTGCCCGTAATATAACGCCTCATTTGTAATGAACAATTATCCCGCGTCAAAAAAATATCACATGCCAAAGGAATTGTTCACACATAAATTAATATGTGCTATGAAAATAAAACCAGACGGATATCACCTGATGTTCTATTGGGTGAGTCCATAGAGCTTTTTTGAGTCCATAGAGCTTTTTTCTTATCTCTGCTCCGGGCACAACGACAGGGCTGGTTCAACCTGGCGGGTCGACGGGATGCGTCTGCGGCAGCGGCGAGGCGCGGCCGTGGCCGGTTTAGGCGCAAGAGCTGGGATCGGAGCGGGTTTGGCCGGGGGCCGGTCAACTTGGTGGAGCCAGCGCGCACGCGGCCGCGGGAGCTGGAGAGGCGCGCGGCTCGCGGCGGGTACAGAGAAGGGCGAGGCCGAGCCGGCGGGCACGGCCATAGAGGGGCGCGAGGAGGAGAAGCTCGGACGCGGTCCGGCGTAGAGCGGAGTGAGCGCCGCTGGAGGGGCGCGACCAGGCACCCGTGCGAGGGGAGGCGAGGCTCGGCCGTGCCATGGAGGCGACCAAGGCAGGGCGAGGCACCCCATGGCGACAGCGGGGCGACAAGGGGGGCACCAGGCAGAGCTGCGAGGTGCAGTGCAGGCAGTGGCCGCGAGCAGTGACCCATCCCGGGCGCGTGGAGTGAGTGTGCGGGCGGTTTACGCCGACACCGGCGGTTAAGATGATTCGAAGGTGAGAGCCACAGCAGGAACAGCGGGTCGAGGCCGCGGTGGTGTTTCGGCGCCGGGTTGCAGAGGCATGGCCGAGTCGTGAGCGCAAGGCGGTTTCCACGACTGGTGAGGAGGCCCGTCTTGGGTCGGGTCACGGCGGCTACTTGGCGCGTCAGCAGTTTGAGGCGTGCCCCCTCCCCAACGGATTACGGTCGCGCAACTGCAGCATGGTTGGCGAGTCAGCGGTAGTGGCGGGTTGAAAACAAGGCCCGCAACATGGCGGTTAATGTCTGCCGGTTTAACATTGTCTGCCGGTTTAACATGGTCTGCCGGGTTATGATTGTCTTAACACCTGCCGGTGCTACCATCTGTCTTAACTCTGCCGGTTTAACACTCGCCGGTTTACCGTCTGTCTTAGCCATCTGTCTTAACTGTCTGCCGGTTTAATACTCGCTAGTTTACCAAGTCCCAGCCAGGTTATGACTCCGGCCGGGTCATACCGCGGGGTATATCCCCGACAGGAAGGCTTATGGATAGTGGAGTACAGTCAGTCATCAGAAATTACTAAGTCCACATCATAGAGCTATTAGATCAAGGATGACCGTTAGATTGAGATTTGTGGATCTAATCGTACGGTATTTATGGTTCGTGCGGTGTTATGGGGCTAATTGTGAAGTGCACCTAAGAAAGTTTTTGTTTGATTCTTTAAATAGTAATGGAGAAACAGCAGGATAAATCATGCCAATCTTTTGTAAGCAGGTTTGATAGCGATCCCTACATACCTAATATACACAACCTTTGGCTTGCCATCCAAACGTATCCAAAATGCCCAATGTCCCGCAGCTCCAAGCCGCCGCCGCTGCCGCCGCCCCATAGGCTCGCGCCGGTGCCGTGTGCTGCCTCCCACCGGAGACCATCGCCACCGGAGGTTCACCGTCAAGGCCATTGCGCCCCCTGCCCTTCCTCATCTCCCTTCCTCCCGTTCTTCTCTATCTCCTCACCTCCGAAGCTCTACCTCTCCCCGGAAACGCAACAGGCCATGGAGGAGCTCAGCCGCCACCGCTGTCCCTCCGACTCGCCGGCGCCACCCATCGTCGACCCGATCCGGCAGCCTTCCGCCAGATCCACGCCAGCCACACCGGAGTGCACGCCTTGGCCATCACCGTTCCCTGCATCAAGTTGCCGCCGCTGCCCCGTGTTGACTGCATCGCTTGTCTGCGCCTGGGCAGTCGCTCTAGCCGAAGCACAATCTTTGGCCGCCATTAGCCCGTCGAGGGTGGAGCAGGGTACCAGATGGAGGGTTGGGAAGAAGAGACAGCGCTGGAGATGGAGCATTCTGTGCGGAGATCGGTATCCTTTTTTTCTGTGTGCGTTACGTGATTGGAGGAGGGATTACGATGCAGCTGCGTGATCGCAGGGGAGGCGGGACCGGTAGTTTGAGGGAAGGCTTATGGATGGTGGAGTACGGTCAGTCATCGGAAATTGCTAAGTCCACATCATAGAGCTATTAGATCAAGGATGACCGTTAGATTGAGATTTGTGGATCTTTCGTGCGGTGTTATGGGGCTAATTGTGAGGTGCACCTAAGAAAGTTTTTTGTTTAATTCTTTAATAGTAGTGGAGAAGTATTACGTTTCCTCGGCACGGCCCACAAGCCCACGTAGTGCCGAAAGCTGAGCACGGCGACGGCGTCAGGCCACCTTTGAAATACTCCGGTTTGGCGCCCAACGTAACCGTCTCATCCAACAGCTCCCGCTTCTTGGCTTCCCATCTTCTCTTCGTTGCCGGAGCGCCAAGAAACCAAGAACCCACCATCCCCACCTCTCCACCGCGCGCCTCTGCTCTCCAGCGTCACCGACTCACCGGCGACCGATGGAGCTGTTCCAGGACGGCCAGCACGTGCGGCTACAGAGCCGCGGGCGCGGGACGTACCTGCACGCCGACGACGACGGGCTTGGCGTCTCCCTCCGCCGGCTCCGCGCGTCGATGAACGTGGCTTGGGCGGTGCACTTGTACCAGGGCCACTACCTGCTCCTCCAGAGCGCCGCCTACGGTGGCTACCTCGCCGCCACGGCCGCGCCGGCGCGGCGCGGCCACCGCGGGCGCCGCGTCGAGCAGCGCAACTACTATCACTCGGAGGTGGATCTAATGCTTTGGCAGGCCGTCCAGATGGAGAACCTCTTCCTCAATAACATCAACGGCGGAAACCTCCGCGCCAACGGGAGGTACCGCCCCTGGAACAACGGTGTCAGCGTCGACCACATCGACGACATCAACAACATCAGCACCATGATGCACTGGGTCGTGGAGGTCATCCCCGCCAGGGAGATCATACCTCGCCTTCCACGTCCGTCTCCGGTGAGTCCGCCATGTCCGCTTCTTGATTTCTTCCCGAATTTGCGCGAATTGGGTTCTTGAATATCGGAATACGACCACAGAGATAGCAAATCGTGTTAGTTTCATTCGCCTGGGAGTAATTCTTGGCTCTGTTCTTGCCAAATTTGCTTCCTCATCTGAAATTCGTATTTGATCTCCTGATAATGAGATGGTTCTTTGGGACTCAACTGCAGCTTCCCGACCTCTTGTTGCGGCCGCGGCTGATCTTGTACGTGTGGCCGAACATCCACGGGGGCCTCATCACCCACGGCACGTTCGTGTTCGGTGTGAGGTCCGTGTTCCGCCTGAGGAGCGAGCTGGCTAGGCGGCTGGGCGACCTCGCAATCATGGACCTGGAGGTCGCCGACCTCGTCATGTGCTTGCCCACGCATGATGGCCGGCTTATTCCACTGGTCGTGGATCTGCCCCGCAGCGGCGAGACCCTCCACATCGTGGTCGTCATCGTCGGGTCACCTGGTGAGAGCCCCTCCATATCCTCAACTTCGAGTTTCATGTCAGTTGATTGCTAATCTGCCTTTGTTTGAACATTTTGGGTGTAGTAGTCGGAACTCTGAAAAACAGATTACTGAAACCGGGTTGGTCTGAAACTTTTGATAATCTGTTTCAGATTATGGGTATTATGGGTTTCATGTAGTTGAGTGCTAATCTGAAAACAGTGTTCGAAACTACGAGTAGTAGTAGTCTCAAAAACAGTTTGCTGAAACTTTTGCCGCTAATCTGTTTCAGTTAGTCTGAACTCTGAACTGCTGTAAGTTGCTCAATCAGATCAGTAGGCGTTCAACAGGCACGACATTATGCTAGAGGGTTTGTCGAGGAGGAAATCATTTCATTAGTCAAAAATCCACACTGATCTTTGATATGGAAATTATTGACTCAGATGGTTTAGTTCTTCAATTTGATGCACTGAACTTTTATATGCCGCTAGTGGAAAACTTCTGAACTTGAAGACCCAAATGAGTTCGGTCTGCCTAGTTCAGCTTCACAGAACTAAATTCAGGTTCTGTGACTGTTTGGAGTAACGCGTAACCAAATTCAGGTTCTATCCCACAACACATTACATTGTTTTGAGGTTTTGTACATCAGCTTTCTTTTCTACTAGTATCTTCTTATTTAAGCTTCTTGCGGTACCTGTGACACCTGATGCCTAACTGCTTAACACTTTTTCTGCCAACTCAGCCTACATGGCGCTGCAGTACGCGGATGTCGATGCATAGCAGAGAGATACCAGAGCCAGGACACCTAGAAGTCTCCTTCATCTCCACCTCGTCGGAAGTGTCGCCGCCACGGCATTAGAACTCAGTTCCTTTCGTTGAAATATGGGCTCAGGAAAACCCAGCTTGGTTCGCTGAAATATGGGTTCAGGAAACTTGTATGCGTTGGCATCACCAATTCACCATTCTGTACTTCCGAAACTGTTTGAACAATGACGCGGTGACATTAGTCTGTAATAATGCGTTGACAATGGCCACTATTTCAACGTTGCTAGCTGCATTCTCTTAGCTGCAGTGAGTTGAGCACTTGAGTTATTCTGCTGAGAGTTCTGAACATGGTGAGGTTAGTGTGTCCGGACAGGAGTTGCTGCATTTTGATGCGTCCGTGGTTTATTTGATTCAGCCTATGGCAGTGTTCTTGGCTGGCCCTTAGGTGCCTCTCAAATTCACCTAAATTTTACCCACAAAAAAAATCACCTAAATTCGCTATTTCTATACTTTTTTTCCCTTCCTATATAGTGTGGGAATAACTTCTGTTGTTATCCGTTGGATCTGTTCCATCCAACGGCTGAGGGGTGGCAAATCCAAGAATAGCTGATCCTTCAACGTGTATGGCTCAAACCTTGCCGTGCGCGCTCAATGGAGTCCCCGCCGAGAACAACCTAGAACAGTTCTCGACTCTCTCCCGCGCGCGATGCTGCGATGGCTCAGAGCCTCAGACCACCGCAATGCATCCAGGCAGCTCTGGAGATCGAATGCTCGCCCTCCCATTTGCTCTCCCTATCCAGCCTCACTCTCGCTGTCCCTCGCCACAGTCCCACCCTCCAGGCATGTTCTCCATCTCCCTGTCTCTCGCCACTCCTAGATCGTGCTAAGCTTCTGTCAAATTTCAGCCATCCTCAGCATGTGGAAAACAAACTTGGTGCGCTGGGTGTCATTCTCGCCCACTGTACCAACCCGTGGGCAGAGCTGGCATTGTTAGCACTGGTGCATGAGCGTTGTTGAGAGTTGGATTACAGAATATACTTTTAGCTTTACTAAGTTGGAAAACAGGTAACGTGGAGTCATAATCATAGTAAAGCCAATACTTCTGTTGATCTGTGCCTTCTGATTTAACATAAGTCAAATAATACATACCTAACAACCTTTGATTTCTGAACACCAAGTGTTTGTGTTTATGTTCACAAAGCTTTTCATTTTCTATTTTGATGATCTGTAGTTTCCAATCAAAGAGAATTCTAATAATGCCCTGTAATCCTAAATTCAGACCGTCAAGTGTTTGTGTTTTTCTAGAAAGATTTTCATTTTTCTATCTATCTTATGCTACAATATAATTCTGAAAATCTCATATTGAAATTTTATGATACACTCTATGCTACAGCCTCTCGATTTAATTTTTGCATGATCAGTCATTTATAAAATACGAAGCAATGCAAGGAAAACTCAATAAATCATTTACCAAGGTCCATTGAGGTACAAGCACGAAATCCATTTCGGCATATTACATGTGCAGCTGTTTCCCAACAGGGCAGAATACTTCCTCAGTCAAAAGTACAGCTGTTGGACCAATGAGTTCTTTTGAGAAGAAGCGTTATCATAATAGGGAAAGATACTTGCTTATAACTCGGAACAGCAAGATGTCTATCTGTGAAGAAACTGTCACAGTACAAATGGAGTAGAGAGGCAAAATTTAAAAATCTTGATACAAGCGATAATGATGTTATGAAGTCTGTAGTGAACCAAACCGGTACAATTAGTAACAGCGACACCAACTCACAAATCACAAAGAAAAAACAATTGGTATTTTTTGTTAATATATTTGGTATTATTTCTGTTGGACAAGCTAAAAAGATTCTAGGATAATTGTTCAATATTGTTGGTCAAGAAATTGCACTATTCACTACCTGAAGATTTAAGGTGTATTTTTTCAGCAGATCAACATTTCACATATATTCCTTTCCTGCTATTATTTTTCGTGTTGTCATGTTTCCCAGTTGAATTTGAACACTCTGAATGCAATTCACAAAATAGGAGACTTGGTTCAACAATGAGGTTGTTCCCCTAGAAACGTTTGCAGGCTCATGTTCGATGACGAGCTCGAACTCCTCGCGCCACCCCTAGAGGCTACAGCAATGGCAGTCAAGCTTGAAGACGTGCCTGTTCTGAGGCAAAAGCTGGATTAGCGGGACAGCCGGTACTCTGTTCTTCTATTATTACTCAGCTTGTTCTACAGGTTGCTTCTTGAGCAGGCTTTTGCCGCGCCACCTGAATGGCATTTGACAAGTGATAACCATCCAGAAAATGGTAGTAGAATATTTTGTAGAGCAATTAGAGAGTGTGGTCACCGGTGAAAATGTAGAAAATTGATTTTTTTTTTGTTTCAGAGGTATAGTTTGTTCTTGGTCATCAATTTATTGGGTGGCTCTCCAGTGTGGTTGGGTGGTTCTGTCCCCTGTTCCGTTTGTTTTGTTTTATAAGCTACAAGTGAATCTTTCAGGGAAAACTGTGTACACGTATTGTTGTTGAAGAAATTTCACAAATATACTTCTCAAAGGTTCAGGAGTATTTTATTTCCTCAGCATTTTCCAAATAGATGATCAACTTATCAGATTTTTTGCTATTAATTTATACCCTGTTGTCATGTTCTTCTATCGTGTCTCAATGGAGTCTTAATCCAAGCAGCAATAAAGAGATTAGCCCATATCACTAGAGGACATCTTAATTTTTTTAGGAATAATCAAAACAAAGTTGACTAATAGAAAACATTATAATCTAACAAAATTTACATCCGCTTGACTTTAACTTCAAAATTCATCATTTTGTTTTACACCTTTCTCAACTTTGTTAGTGCCGACGTGCAAAGCACGTGCAATTTACTAGTTTCTGTTAAGTTCGGGTCTGATGGTCTGAACTTTTGGTCAACCCAACACTGGGACTGGCAAGAGGGCCATGCCCTTAACCCTCGGCCGCTAACTCTCTTTTCTCCATGGTACCCCAGTAGGCAGTGGCGGAGCCAGGAATTAAAGATTAGGGGGCCAAATGACACAAACTTTGGATTATGAGGGCTAAACTACACTAATGCATGTATTATTCTCTAAATTCTGCACTGTTGATTGTCATACTAGTACCAAATCAGTGGCCCCTGCTGGTCCCCCCCCCCACCCCCCTGTCTCCGCCACTGCCGGTAGGCCTCTTGAGCATTTTTTTAAAAAGATGATTACCTGGGCGCCCCTATATCTCGCCTTCAGCGAGTACAGCTTCCAACTCGCCGAAGGGGCGAGTGAGCTGGGCGCCCCACGAGCGCGGGAGACCACAGCCTCTTTTTCTGTTTTTTTAACGTTTTCTGCTTTTATTTTTTGCTTTATTTTTGTACTTTTGTTTATACTTTAAAATATTATATATATATATATATATATATATATATATATATATAGTACAAAACACACTCTACAATTTTTTTTGAAAAATATTGAACAACTATTGAAAAAATATTGAACAATTATTTGAAAAACATTGGAAAATATTTGAAAATGTTGAACAGATATTTCAAAAATGTTAACCAAGCATTTGGAAAATGTTAAATATGTATAGAAAAATGTTGACCATGTATTAGAAAAATGATAAAAAAATTTGACGATGTATATATTTTTTTAATTCAGGAACTAAATAAAATATTGAACAAGTATTTGAAAAATGTTAATCAAGAATTTAAAAAATATTAAATATGTGTAAAAATTGTTGACTATGTATTCAAATACATTAATATTGTATTTGAAAAATGTTAATCAATGATATGAAAAGTAAAATAAAAATGTGTATAGAAAAAAATGTTGAACATGTATTCAATAAATGTTATTTTGCATTAGAAAATGTTAAACATGTATTAGAAAAATGTTCTTGACATATACGAAAAATGTAGAATAAAAATCAAAAGAGATAAAGAAAAACCAAAAACGAACGAAAACTGATAAAAACAAAGAAAGACACAAAGAAAAAGCAAATGAAAAAAGAAAAGAAAGAAAAACTGAGAAGGAAAAAAAAAGAAACAGAAAATGAAAAAAAAGTATCTCATCCCAAAACCGAGTTGTGCACCCATCTCCAATAATAAAGTTACCCTATTAAAGAAGGCTACCTTAATTCTCATTAAACTCTTCCAAAAGGGTGAATCATTTGGTCGTGCCGTTACTTGAGATAAGGTCTTGGAATGTAGGTACGTGTTTTGCAATAAATGTATCCATACCCGCTACTCCTTAGTGAAAAACCGATAGAGCCACTTACAAGCAGGCACTTATTCTTGACCTTCAGGTTTTCATTACCCAATCCCCCTTTTGCCTTTGGGCGTACACAAAATATCCCACTTAGCCAGCCTATATTTTGCTCTATTCTCATCACTTTGCCAAAAGAACCACAATCTATAGAAGTCTAATTCTTTCAGTACCTGTAAGTGCATCTAGTGCCCCTTAGTGATTTTGGTGTATTGAAGACTTATAGGTTAAGGGACTAATGCGTTTGTGAGTATACACAGGTCTATAAGTCTATTTTTCTGTACTTACCTTTCGCAATTAGATGGAAAAACTGAGTGTTATTATCTAATTGCATGACTTCTCATACCTTTATCTCATACAACAATACCTATGCCATCCGGACGCCGGCCCAAAATATATACATTGAAACACAAAATCTACACATCAATCGATCATCCATGGAAATCCCGCCTGTGTCAGAAGCATTACAAGGACAAGGGCACAAATGAAAAAAATTAAGAAGAAATGGTGTTCGATTTCTCATGGTGTCCGACTTGTGATACAGCTTGTACAACTTCATTTATCTGTATAGCTTGTAACATTGATGCTTGTGAGACAACGTTTTTTAATAGAGCATGATTTAAGAGATTTGTTTTTTAGTAAAGCATGACACGTGGACTTTTGGAATATGGCGCCATGCGAGGACCATATCCTCTCCGTGTGTTCTTATATACGTGACAAATACAAGCTATACTTTAG